TGCTCGTCAAAACAGTTTGAAACTGTTCGGCTAAACTACAAGGTCATCGGGGCCATTTGTACGTTAACTGTAATGCACACAGAATGCTTTTTACTTTTTCTCCAGGTTTCAGCCTCCTGTCCACACAAAAAAAGCATTAGCTCAATGAGGTTCTTTAAAACTCAAACTATTTTCAGTATTTGTTTTTATATAAATATATATATAAATATAGAGCACACCTCTTTTTATCTACAGGACCCCCACACAACCACCACAGAGTAAGTATTATCTGGGTGGTGGGTCATTCTCAGCACCACACTGACATGGTGGTAGCATGTTAGTGTGTGTTGCGCTGGTCTCAGTGGATCTGACAGCAGTGCTGCTGGAGTTTTTAAACACCTCAGTGTCACTGCTAGACTGAGAATAGTCCACCAACCAAAAATATCCAGCCAACAGCAGCACTGCTGTGTCTGAACCACTTGTACCAGCGCAATAAACACTAACACTCCACCACCACATCAGTGTCACTGCAGCGCCACTGCAGCACTGAGAATGACCCACCACCAAATCATACGTCACTGGTGGTCCTGACTTGAAGAACAGGGTAAAAGGGAGATAACAGAGTATGCAGAGAAACAGATGGACTACAGTCTGTAATTGCAGAACTACAAAGTGCACCTGTATGATTACTGGAGCTGATAAAATGGACAATGAGTGCAAAAACAAGGAGGTGTACTTGATGAACTGGCCTGTCTGTGAAGTATACATGTATGTTTACAGGCGTGTTTACACACACACACGTTTTTCTGTGTGATGTTATGGACTGCCATGACAGCTATGTTTCTTTATTGCTCCTGTACTTTTTAAACAGAGGTCTTCCTGTTGTTAAGGAAGCCCTTGATAAAACCCTTTTAAGTAAATATAAATAAGAAGACAGTAGGAACTAGAAGTAGGTGTTCAGTGAATAATCACTGGATTTTTAATTTTTCAAAAGAAACATTACTGCTAGTCTAATATCTGCGACTAAAATAAGAACAAAGTCATTCAGAGTGGTTTGATGTGAAATGTGTCATTCTAGCGCAGTGGTTTCCAACCCTGATCCTGGAGGGACCTACCATCCTGCAGAGTTGAGTTCCTACCTTCAGGTTTTCGGTTCCCAAGTAATCGTTTAATTGAAGTCATAAAGGACCAATAAATCGATTATATATAAAAATAGTCATTAGTTCCAGTATTGGATGCAAGCAAGAGAACTAACTGACTCTGCAGAAATGCAAAATAGTCAATGAGTCTTTAGAAAGCATGGCCTGACATCGTTTCTCTAGAATGTCAAAAGGCAGTGCAAAGTTTCTGTTTTTAAATAGCTGGAAACAACTGCCTCATTAAACTGTGTTTAAGCCCAGTGAGAAGCTGCACAGACTAAGTTTCTCAATACCAAAAGATTTACTAAGGTCTTACTATGTACAATTACAAACGCTCAGCAACAGCTTAAATAAAGGCTGGGTTGAAAAAATTAAACGTGCCATTTAACGCCATTCACAGACTGAGAGTTCATTTCAAAGTCACTGCTCCAGAGTTGTTTGATTTCCTAGAACAGCGAAGGTCATCTGCACAATGATACACTGCATGCGCTAATGCAGACAGGCTCCTTGATGTGAGTCTAGAGCCCTTACAGTGCAAAGTCACCCAGAACAGATTCATGCTTGTGCATCGGCCTGTGTTCATTTGTATAAATGCGTGTGCATTAAGCAGTTCACAGCTTTGCTCTTGCTGTGCGAAAGGCATGTAGGTTAAAAATGTGTACATAGTTACTAGAGTGAACGGGGTGTGCCACACTTACTGTTGTTCCCCAGGTACAAAAACCTGCTCAACAGGCTGGTTTTGCATTACAAAGACACACTCTCTCCCATGTAGGGCACAGGGACAAAAGGCCTACACAGGAGGTCATACGGGTGAGTTATGTATAGCATAGCTAATTCAAAAAAATACTACAGTCGCCTGTAGTCTGAAAACTGATAGACATCTTCGGAGTCTAAGAGGGATCACACTAGCATCTTAGAACTTGTGTTCACTAATTATTATTACTGCTTTATTAGCAGACAGGTGCATTTGTAAATTCATGAATTTCTAAGCCAACCACAAGAAAGCTGCATTCACCACACCATGATGTTCATAAATGACTAACATTAAAGGAGAATTCCACAGATTTTCTTTTCTCTTTGCATATTTAAATTGCTATGATCTATTCACAGCAGAACGGTACATGCGGGGCATTTTAAGCCAAAACAGTACCCCCCAAAAAAAAAAACAAAAAAAAATACAAAAAAAGCAGATTTACCATTATTTTAGCATCTACAACATTACTTATAAAAACTCAAATGTTTGCTCACTGGTCAGGAAAAAGACCTGTAGACCCCTGGTTTCTACCACCATAATATCACTGTAATCAGTATGAATAAGTCTGTTAACATCTGAATGGTGAAGTTTTTGGTAGAATTGGTAGAATACTGGTAGAATTCCCCTTTAAACACCTTTTGTAGTAAACATGCAGGCCAAATCAGTAAAGACATAATTCTGCACTGAGCATTTTGTCTATGATATGATGAACTGGTCCATCATGTGAATATATCAATAGCCAAAGGCCTCATGAAAGCAAACAAATGGCAGTTCTGATTTGGTGATGTGACCATTTCCTGATTTTACAAGTTGACAAGGCCCATATGCACCACATACGTACCAGCTGTGATTACATGATAAAAACCAAAACACCACCACAATCATTTTGCTCAATACTGACAACACTATGACTTATCACTATTATTCTGTTAATTTAGGAACAGTTTAATTCCACAGTATCATTTCAAATTGTGCATTATATGCTGATATTCCTCTGAATGTGTAAATGTTTGAATCAAAATAGGACACATCCTTTTATACTGAATCTTAGCCTATTAGCTAACCTTAGTTAAGTTCACCAATATCACATTCAATTACATTTGGTTAACTGAAGAAGCCAAAAACAGTGAACACAATTAAAATGTGATTAACTGTGCAGCCTTAATAACAGCCTACCACTGCATAAACAAACTCCCAAGCCTTCGGTCAGCTGAAACGTAACAAGCGAGACAGACAGGCTATTCACCATGGAGAAACAACAAAATGTGAGCAAATGATGCATGACTCCCAAACAACAGCATGAGTCGCAGTAAATTCAACATGATCTGAGGGAGCAGGACATGGCAGACAGACAGATGAGAAAGAGGAAGGAAATGATTGCAGGAAGGCCAGGAGCCCAAACTGCCCTGGAGGCATGACTGCATATAGGCTGTTGCTCTTACTCTCTGATCCAGCTCCAATTCGGCCTCCTGTATCCACTTAGACACAATATCAGAAGGAAGAGGGCAGGGGTGATTCAGCAGAGCTTCACTGATACGGCAATATCTTTTACAGAGGCTGCTCTTTTGCTTGGGTGTGGTTGTTGCAAATAATCTATAAAGCCCACACTATTTACCTGTTACAGATAAAGCCCATGTCAGGTGGAGCACTGCATTGATAGTGCCCTTGCACTCACCTGGACTATAAACACAGCAAGGCCTCCTCACAAGTATACTTGAGTATAAGTGTGATTTTACCTAAAGGGGCCTTGCGGTGAAAAACTAGCATTTCATATGTTATTCGTCTTGTTATGCAATTTTCTATAGCCCTGCATCGTATCCCTCCGAGTCATCCGTTTGACAGCATTCACGATTTTGTTGTCTTTTTTTTGTGTTTTCATACTACACTACCCAGCATGCACTGTGCAAATATGTCATACAACCACTGGGAATCCCAATGAACATCAAGAAATCCACTGATGTTAAAGGCTATTAAATACAGAAGTGATATTCGGCTTCCTTGCAGCAATCTTTGATAGTCATTCTGCATTAGCCCGCTAGTAAGTAGCTCACCCTCTATTCACCCCAAAGGGCTTCCAGTTTTTCATAAGCTCCTCCCACCTTCAAGACACATCATCAGAAGGTGGATTTTCTCGTCTTTAAACTGTAAACTTTCACTCTCAAGACTATTGTGGAACCACTGTGGGGTGTGATTAGACATGTTTATAACATATGTATCAATGGTTAAGGTCTTCACTTTTGCCAGAAACCCACTCTGAGTAATCTGAGTACATGAATGCACTATGTAGCTCTTCGTTTAATAAAAAAGTGACAGCTTTGAGCAAAACTGACACTTTTCTATGGAAAATTAAAACAGCATAAACGTTTTGCAGAACATTATATATACAAAACACTGGACTTTTTTGGGTTGTGACTACAGGGGACCTCAAAAGTCTCTAAAAACGAACTGTAGTGTGTCTGTACCTCAAGAGATCCATAACTATAACGTTAACACAACGAAGCAGGACGACCGCAGCAGAAAACCTGAATAATCTCACAGCTGCAGGATGTTGAAGATTTGCCCTACAGATTAAAACAGCACGTATCGTCTTCTTAAAAGAAATTTAAACTAGCACCGTAAAAGGAACAGCTCTACACGAATGGAGGTATGAATAACACGACATTATACCACTTCAAAGAGAAAGAAAACTATAAATAATTTTATTTCCGTATTTTGTTGCTATACCACCCCTTTCAAGGCCAGCGGACAGAGGCCGCCTTCAATTCCCTTTTCACTCATTTGTCGTTTGCTAACTAACTAGCTAGCATAGCTAGCGTTAGCTAAGTTACCTCAGACGACTCACAGCGTAACCTAGCTCCCCAATATTTTCCGCTCACCCATCTCGTTTCAATGAGCCCGCTTACGAAAACAGCGTAACTCTTGTATGTGTATACGACCCACAAAATCATTGAGAATCGATTAACAAACGACAACAAAAAAAATGCAGCGGTATAAACCGGACACAATGAACCAGACGGGCGTGTGTCAGTTCGTAAACTTTACCAATGGCGGCTTGAAAGTTAATTTAATGAGCTTAATCTAATGTTAAACGGTCGCCCGTTGAAGTATGAAATCAATAATGCACCAACCTGCCGACGAAATTTTCCAAGACTGAGCTTTTTCCGGCGCTCTGTCCTCCGACCACGGCTATCTGTGGCAGGTCTAGGTTGCAGCTCTGGCCGATGGAACTGAAAGCGTCCTGGAGTTTGTTGATCAGGGGGATCAACTCCTCCATCCCCCGGTTCCCCATGGCTTCACTCGGGCTCGACTCGTCTCGTCTCTCCCGGACACAAGCGCTGCTGCAGGGGGTGCTCGGGTTACTTCCAAGCTTTAGTTTTCACCCTTCAAACACCTTCATTCATCGGCCCGTCACTGAGAAGCAAAACTTAAACAGCTTAACGAGACTCAAGAGCCTTTAACTGACGAAAAACATCACATTTAAATAAGTTAATTTATCCGCAGCCGAAACTCACAAAACAAAACTTCCAGCGACCATCCGGTCAGGCGACATCCGACCGGTGACTTCAGCCCCGCCTCCTGTCACAGTGCAGCACAAATATTCATTGGTCTGTTCGAGAGTTCCTCCTTCTCTGATTGGTTCAGCTTGTCAACCAAAAAAGGCGTTTGCAACACCATTGGTTAACTGAAGTGTCAGTATTTTCGCAGTTCCACCCACTTGGATTCGATTTCGCGGTTGCTGGTTCAGAATCACAAAATGAAATACAGAAGCAGCCTTTAGTGTCATAAACATAACGCATTTTATAAGTGTATATAATTAATTTTTACCTGTTTGCTGATAGACTACAATAGAGTACATGTCCTTACACGAGTTACTGTATGAAACGACCGTGAACCTTAACGTAAATATTAGTTATTTTATTTTCTATAAATGACACACAAAGCTATTCACTGCTGCTAGGAAGTCAACTTCCTATTCAGCAACATCTTGTTCTGATTTTCCCGTTCCACCTTAAATGGTGCAGCAGTTACATTCTGGCGCCTCAGAATATAACTGCTGCATAATTTAAGGTGGAACGGGAAAATTTGAACAAAAAGCTGGCGAATATGAAGCTGACTTCAGCCTCGTAAAAAAAACTCCCCGTCTGCGTTCGGACAGAGTCGGATCATAAGCTTTATTTTACATCTTAAGTGCCACTTTAAAAGCTTTTCCTTTACAAAACCACTTCCTGGTGTGATTCACGTGGCCTCGCCATCAACAAGCCTCTCAAAATGGCCGCAGTGGAGAGCGGCACATGTGAGCGTCCAGCCGATATGGCAGCTGTGAAATGCCTTTCCTCCTCTGCCCCTCTCGCTCTCCGCATCGTGGCCGAGTGTCCGGTGAGCAAGGCGAGAGCCTGTGTCCTCACGCTGCCTCACGGTCCTGTTAACAGCCCAGTTTTCATGCCTGTAGGCACGCAGGGCACCCTGAAAGGTATCACCGTGGACCAGCTGGAGGACCTGGGCTGTCAGATATGCCTCGGTAACACCTATCACTTGGGTATGAGACCGGTATGTGAGTGGAATATCAATGCAGGCCATAAGTTATGACCATGGTCACCAGTGGTTTCAGCTTTCAGTGCAGTGTCCTGCTATGTTCTCACCATGTCCATCATCTCTTTCAGGGTCCTGAGCTCATTGAGAAAGCCAGTGGCCTGCATGGGTTCATGAACTGGAGAAGAAACCTTCTGACGGTAAGACAGCTCTGCAGTTTTGGATGTGGAGGGAGGTGTGAGCATGGGTCAGAAAAAACTGGACTTTGTAAAAGTACTAACAATTGAGTGGCACATACTTTATTGTGCTGTATTTTATTGTTTTCCTTTTAGTGCACTTATGACGTGTGTTTTATGCACCAAAACAGTCATAAATCATGTTTACATGACTCTGTCCATTTTTCATGACCTCTCTTTATAACTCAGAATCAGGGTTGGGCAGAATACTTTGAAAAAAGCAGTGATGGCTACAGAGCTCTGCTGGTGACGTCCCGTATAAATAAAAATAATGCATGGTCACGTCTTGCTAAGGCGTGGGAGCAGGACAATTAAGTCGTGGCCACAACTTAGTAAGGCAAGGGGACGAGATCCTAATGCATGGCCGTGACTTAGTAAGGCAAGGGGACGAGATCCTAATGCGTGGCCGTGACTCAGTAAGGTGAGGGGACGAGATCCTAATGCATGGCTGTGACTTAGTAAGGCGAGGGGACGAGATTCTAATGCATGGGCATGACTTAGTAAGGCGTGGGAATGAGATAATTAAGCCTTGACCACAGTTTAGTAAGGCATGATCTTGTTCCCACACTTTACTAAGTTGTGGCCACGCATTAGGATCTCGTTCCCATGCATTCATGCAGTGTGGCCATGCGTTATTTTTATTTATATGGGATGTCGCCAGCAGAGCTCTGTAGGCGGCTGAATACACTGTCCTAAATGTGTTCCGTAACATATTGCATTAAAATACATAACAAAATAAGTTATCCAGAATACATTTGGAAAACATTCAGAATGCTTATGAATAAGTCACATTGAGGAATTTTATTTGATTTACACTGTTTCTAGCTGTTAATGTTGGCAGTTTTCTACATAATTTTTCTGTTAATATGTTTCATAAAAATTTTTATCGCATTTAAAATTCTCAACATTGTTTTGGCTCATTGCCTGCTTTGGTTCACTGCTGCTCCCATAATCCCACTGCTCTCTCCTGAACTAACCAAGTAATTTGCCATATCCCAATAACAGTCTTGCAAACTTGACTATGAAGTGGATTTTCAGTTAATAACATGTTTATAACTTGCCATGAAACGCATGCACAAGTCCAGCACAACAACGATGCTAAGTTTATTACTGGTGAAGTTCTATTCTATTACCTCTCTAAAAGTTTGGTTATGCTGGGATTAATATCTGATTGTCAAATTGGTTTGTCAGTCTACTCAGGCTTTAGCAGGAACTTCACACACTGTGTACTGATTGTAAAGTAGTTAATAAGCAAACGCTAAAAGTGTTTCTTTGAAAGATGGTTTATTTTGTAAGTGTATGGGCAAGTATTCTAAAAATATTACCCTAAAATGTAAAAAGGATCTATATTCTGCATACTGCCTTTACAAAATGTAACCTGGGCTGAATACAGATACTTAATTTCTGTATTCTGAATATGTTTTCTCAATACTTGTATTCCAATACATCCCAACCCTGCTCAGAATTAAACAGGTGTTTTCAAGAATGTTTTGTTTTCAAAAAGCTCAGTTTTCAGTGATTTTAAAGAAGTGTTTTTGGACACCATTACACCCCTACCACGTAGCCCTTACCTCTCCGTTTTGCGTGTTTACATTTTCTTTGGAGACTGTCTTGCCTTATGAGCCCCTGCATGCACCTCTCCACCAGGGATGGATTTTTGTATGTTTTAAGCCAAAATCTTATCTCAAAACTATCGTGAAACAATGTTTTGGGCATCAGGCAGTGTATTCATAATAATTTTGATGTAGTGCCTTTCTGTGAGGGAGCTTTTATAGTCAATTAACTCTCCAGACGTCTCGTTCATTTACCACCACTGTAAAATATTTTCTTTATGTTTATCTAGAAGCATTTCACATCAACCCACTCTGAATGACTTTGTGTATATCTTGATCAAATTCTTTTATTTCAAAAGGGCAAGACAAAAAACAGTTTTCCAGGATATTTGCACTTTAGGACTCATATGTACTGTGCTATGTACAGTTCCTCATGGACTGGACTCAGATCTGGAATTGACCAGATTCTGTGTTATCTAATATTTATGAAAATAAATATATAAATACATAAGTTGTTTACACCAAACTTTGTTCTGTCTGTCAACAGAATGTTGTTCTGTTTTCTTTATGCTCCTCTCCGAGCAGGACAGTGGAGGCTTTCAGATGGTGTCCTTGGTGGAGCTGTCTGAGGTGACTGAGGAGGGGGTTATGTTCCGCTCGCCTTACGATGGAAAGGAAATACTGCTCACTCCTGAGCAATCCATCGCAATACAGAACAGCCTCGGTATGAGTTTTGCTCACGCAGGTCACCTTTATTCCATCATTCTGTTTTTTTTTTTTCCACCCCCAAATGTTACTAAATAAGATCATGGTAGTTGTTCTTTACTCGCTTACATTCACTGCTGTGTTCACTTTGAGAAGTGCTCATTTAAAGGACCCATATCATGAAAAAACTAATTTTTCTCATTTTTACATACTACAAACTGACTCGTCCAAACTGACAAAGCTCGGTGGAATTACATACATATACTTATTCAGCGCACAGTTTAGCCCTGCCCGTTTATGTTGAAGTTATATGAAATGTTTCGGTCTGGACTGCATTTTAAATGAAGCACAATATGGGACAGCCAATCAAGATGAGATCATTTACATGTCAGTTTTAAAAGCACAGTATGGAAAATGGTCACACTTTATGAATTATGACTAGTTTTGGTACATAAACCATCCAAAATGTTATAAGCACAACTGAGGGTTAAAAAAATAAAATATAAAAAGAAAGTTAGATGTATGGGACCTTTAATATGTATCTCATAGAAAATTCTGAACGGAATGAATTGTTTAGCAAAAAAATCCACTGATGTACCACAAATATGAATGATCATCCAAGACACATTTGGTGTTTAGCTAGAAGGCTAATGTAGCTGAAAAGTAAAGGCAGTGCATACCCACTAAGGAGCATCGTGCAAACTGCATGCCTAAATCAGATCACATTGAGTTGTTGGGTAATCTAAAATAGACTTGTTTCTACACCGTGTAACAGTGGTTCCCAACCCTGGTCCTTGAAAACCCCCTGCCCTGCACATGTTAGTGCCTGCTCCCAACACACCTGATCCAGCTAATCAGTTCATTAACAAGCCCCTCATGAATTATGACTTGTGGGAGCATCTGCTGGGAGTAGGGAAAACACTAAAATGTGCAGGGACACATCAGGGTTGGGAACCTGCGTTGCATAACATATTTATCTGTGAAAATGGCCACAAGTAGGTCAGAAAACTAAAGACATTAGCGTTGATGATTTTTCCAGAAATATAGAATACACCAATACACCACTTATTGTCCATTTAATCAGCTCCGCTTACCATATAGATGCACTTTGTAGTTCTACAATTACAGACTGTAGTCCATCTGTATCTCTGTATACTTTGTTACCCCTCTTTCACCCTGTTCTTCAATGGTCAGGACCCCCACAGGACCACTATACAGCAGGTATTATTTGGATGGTGGGTCATTCTCAGCACTGCAGTAACACTGATGTGGTGGTGGTGGTGGTGTGTTGTGCTGGTACGAGTGGATCAGACACAGCAGTGCTGCTGGAGTATTTAAACACTTCAGTGTCGCTGCTGGACTGAGAATAGGGTAGGTGTGTCTGAGTGGACAGTGAGTGAACAGTTTTTTAAAAACTGCAGCAGCACTGATGTGTCTGATCCACTTGTACCGGTGCAACACACTCTAACACACCACCACCACGTCATTGTCACTGCAGTGCTGAGAATGATCCACCACCCAAATAGTACCTGCTCTGAGGTGGTCCTGTAGGGGTCCTGACCATTGAAGAACAGGGTGAAAGGGGGCTAACAAAGTATGGAGAGCAACAGATGGACTGCAGTAGTTGTAGAGCTACAAAGTGCTCATATATGGTAAGTGGAGTTGATAAAATGGACAATGAGTGTAGAAACAAGGAGGTGGTTTTAATGTTATGCCTGATGGGTCTATATATGTCTGTCTGTCTGTCTGTTAATTTATTCATTCCATTTATTTCCTTGTGTTCAGGCTCCGATATCATGATGCAGCTAGATGATGTGGTCAGTAGTACAGTGACGGGGCCGAGGGTGGAGGAAGCCATGCATCGCTCTGTTCGCTGGCTGGACCGCTGCATCACCGCTAATAAGAACCCCCATCGGCAGAACCTGTTTGCCATCATTCAGGGTGGGCTTAATGCAGAGCTACGCAAGGCCTGTTTAGATGGTGAGAGCTGCCCCGGTGCCATTATCGCCTTTTTACTCAACATCCACCTGCAATCTACATTCATCTCAATACCCATATAGGAAAAGAGCCACTGCATTAGTGCCATTGCATATAGCAAAGAGCCCATCAAAATGACAATAACATCAGTATGCTTATTGCACATTTTATTACTTTTTGCTTGAATAAGTGCTGCTTTCCCAACCAATATTATAGCAATTTACATTTTCTGTTTATATGGTGGATGATATGTGTGGTTCTCTGTTTTTTTGTTGCAGAAATGACAAAGCGAGACGTTCCTGGTTTTGCCATTGGCGGTCTGAGCGGAGGAGAAGAAAAGGATGATTTCTGGAAGATGGTGACTCTTAGCACGGATCACCTTCCTAGAGAAAAACCTCGCTACCTCATGGGAGTTGGGTAAAATCCATGTTCTCATTTATGTGCTGACACTAGAGCCAAAAGCAGCTGATAGCAAGCCATTACAGAGAGTGTTCTTGTAGGGAAGTGGGGTTAAGTGCTTTGCTTGGGGCAAAACATCAGTCATCATGGACTGGAATGGAAACACTGACCTCAAGTCATGGTCAAATATCATATAAAAGAACCTGACAAGACCTGATCACAATCACTGATATCATAGTGGTGGTTATCATACGCTGACATGGAAAGCTTTAACAGTGTAGACTGTTATTTAAGCTGAAAAAAGGAAGGAGGATGCTCTGTACTTTTTAATTTTTTGTTGTATAA